TCCCTTGGCAGTTGGAATTCGATATAAGAGTAGGCCGTAGTGCCGCTGTCCGGGCAAAATTTCCCTCATAGCACACTGTATGGCGTATGCCCGTCTTCATTAGCCCAGGTTAGGAGCAGAACAGTAGGACGTTAAACTCCATTTCATTTCATTTCATTTACCCCCGCCCCTTTCTCTCCCCCTCCCTCTCTCTCTTTATGTTACGTGATATCAGGATTATCGAAGGCAATTAATAACAGACGAAACAATTTTATATTTAAAGAATGTGAGGCCATGTACAAGAGTAGCCGCCATTATCGTTATCCATTATCATATTAACGCTTCATTAAACCTTTATGGGGTAACTATTATAGTAAACATTGCATGGATAGAGTTTAATGTCCCACTTGCATGCACCTACCTGAATAATGAAGACGGTCATAGCCTAGACAGTGGCGAATATTTTGCGAGTACACTAATTGAATTTCAGTCCAGCCTCCAAGAGTTCTTTTACGTGCCGGCCAAATTATAAAAAGCGATATGACAAAAATGAAATGAAATGGAGTTCGTCCAACTGTTCTGCTCCAACTGGGCTAATGAAGACGGACATACGTCATACAGTGTGCTTGCCCTATGGCCCCCTCTTATATCGACTTCCAACTGCCAAATGATCTTTTACGTGCACGCCAATGTATACCCTGACCTCCGTCCTGCACCACTCGGCCAATGCAGGGATCGAACACGCGACCTCCAGGCTATATAGCCAACGTCTTGCCCACTTAGTCACCGTGGCTCCCGCGAAATGACAGCAGAAACACAATGGGATTAAGTGGAATAGGTTCTGGTTAGCTTTGCTGTAAAAAGAGTATTTTGTTTTGTATTTAAGTGGCGAGTACCAACTGAGATGAGATTTTCAGATGGTTTACAGTCAGATCTGCAAGATGGTAAGACATTTTCAATTCATTGTTTAGTTATTTCAGATGCATTGGGTAAGAAAATGTGCTGTCCGTTCTTGCTATAATAGTTTTAAAATATTGCTATGATAATACACAAAGTCTCGATTATCCATTTTGACGTACAAGTATTATATGGCGCGGCTATTCTAATCCATTTAACGTCTCGGGTATCATATGCACCAGAGAGTTGATTACGGGCTTACCATGTGAATATATGTCTACAAATTTTTTTTATAACATTTGAATCAGAAAGATAGAGAGCCGCGGTGGTTCAGTGAATAAAACCTTGACTCGCTAACCTGGAGGCCCCGTGTTCGATCCTGTTCATCAGGATTTTCCGGCCTGGTTCCCCATTGGACCTGGCATAGTCGTTCGGCTGGGACAAAAACTGAGATCCTGTGTACACATTGGGGGCACGTAAATGAACCATTCCAAGTTGGAATTTGATATAAGAGTAAGCCGTAGCGCCGCTGTCCGCGCACACTTTCCCTCATAGCACACAGTGTGGCGTATGCGGTTTAACGTCCTACTGTTATGCTCCGGCTGAGCTAATGAAGAGGGACATACGCTATGAGGGAAATCTTGCCGGAAAAGATGGTCTACGGCCTACTCTTTTATTGAATTCCTTTACGTACCCTGGATCCTTGACATGTCCTCCGTCCTGACAAGGGGAAACCACGCCGGAAAATCATTATAAGCTTTCTTGGCAAACACCATGAGCGTACCCGGGACCTCCAGGCTAGCGAGGTCTTATTGACTGAGTCGCCGCGGCTCCCTATATTGATATAGATTGAATTATATAATGGTTATAATTAGCCACCTATTGATTGTTGTAGTCAATAATACCCAGACACCTGTTGATTGCTGTAGTCAATAATACCCAGACACCTGTCAATAAAATCTCGTATTATATTCAGTTTCAGACGAATTCCCAACACGGCTAACAAAGGTAAGAATTTACATAAATATATTTATACTAATGCAAATGTAATTGGACCGTTTCCATGTAAACGGTGAAATCTCGCACGAAAACGCCTTGAGACGCGAACATGGAAAATGGGCTTAAGTGTGTGCTAGTCATGACGTCTGTCTCGGACTATATACAGATAACTGAAATGTTAGTATTTTTTTGTAAATGTATCACATCACCACAGATAGTTGCTTGGGACTGGTTGCAATAATTCGCTTATTATGTCCTTTCTATTTCTTTCACCTTGTTAGTTAATGATTTATTTTTTATGTCGTGGGGGCTGGTAAGGGAAAATGTGTAGTCGTGTACACATTGGCATGCAAGTAAAAGAACCCTTAAGTGTTGGAATTCGATATAAGAGTAGGTCGTAGCGCCGTTGTCTGGGCTCAATAAATGCCTTATAGCGCACTTTATAGTAAATGAAATGAAATTGGGTTTAACCTCTTACTTTTCTGCTCCGAACTGGGCTAATGAAGACGGGCATACGCCATACAGTGTGCTATGAGGGAAATTTTGCCCGGACAGCGGCACTACGGCCCACTCTTATATCGAAGCCTTACTGCCAAGGGATCTTTTACGTGCACGCCAGTGTGTACACGAGAGCTCGTTTTTCCGTTCCATCCGAAGGACTAGATAGCTGTCCTTGTCAGGCCGCACTGTATGGCCTATGTCCGTCTTCATTAGCTCAGTTGGAGTTGAACGATAGACCGTTAAACTGCATTTCATTTCATTTTATTTTCTGTGGTAACAATAGAGCTTTAATCTAGTTCATGGCATTTTTATTCATTATTCAAACTACATATTATATATTCTATAACTTATAACATAGCCCTTTCTGTTTATTTATTATATTACTTTGTACGTATTGAATGAAACTATTTTACGAGGTATTTTTACTATCTGGGGTTAACTTATATTCTTCTGGTTCATTAGCTTTTATTGGATTATATACTAGTCTATGATCTACATATATGTAGGTCTATCTTGGTACGAAATTACCCAACAGGGTATGTCAAACTACCAGCGCTGCCTACTTAAGCATACGGCTGGTTTGCTACTATATATCTCTGCTAGGTGGCTTTGATTACAAGAGAAAATGGATCCAAAAGGGCAATAATAAAATTAATCCGAAATATAAAATAGACAAAATATAAAATAGACAAAATATAAAATAGACAAAATATAAAATGTAAAATATAAAATAGACAAAATATAAAATGTAAAATATAAAATAGACAAAATATAAAATGTAAAATATAAAATAGACAAAATATAAAATGTAAAATATAAAATAGACAAAATATAAAATGTAAAATATAAAATAGACAAAATATAAAATGTAAAATATAAAATAGACAAAATATAAAATGTAAAATATAAAATAGACAAAATATAAAATAGACAAAATATAAAATAGACAAAATATAAAATGTAAAATATAAAATAGACAAAATATAAAATGTAAAATATAAAATAGACAAAATATAAAATGTAAAATATAAAATAGACAAAATATAAAATATAAAATGTAAAATATAAAATAGACAAAATATAAAATGTAAAATATAAAATAGACAAAATATAAAATAGACAAAATATAAAATAGACAAAATATAAAATGTAAAATATAAAATAGACAAAATAATGGTATATCTTGTTAGGAACGAATGGCGGGATTAGGAATGGATGTTCGGTTATGGAGTAGTTGGATTAAGCCCTGGGAACCCAGGTCAGTATTGTTTCGAAATGTATTTTTGAACACTAAAGGAGTTGAATTGCTTCACTTCATTTGCACAACACGTGGTACCCAACCCTAACTGGTTAAGTTGAAGTTACATAAAGTCATCTTAAGATATTTATTTTTATAAAACAAACAGCGTGCTTGTAGTGGATCCAATATTATCTACTAGACCCGCCGGATATTAAAGCATCCACCTCCCCTAGACGTAAATCCTGTATCCAGTAGTAACTACCAGACTCATCGTGCGTCTAAGACGTCATCGATGTCGCTTTAATGATAGGAATGTACTAATAATATGAGTCAATATGGTATTAACTAGTCAATTAGGTCTTATATGGTTGAATAGATACGCCGAGCTCATTACCCTGGCTGTAATAGTCTTAAAGAGACAATCTAACCATGCCTTTCTAAATACGTACAGGGTGACTCAACGACTCTCTCTCTCTCCCCTCTCTCTCTCTCTCTCTGTATGGGAAACACTCTCTAGCATCAAGCTCGTGGAATTTCTCCGGGTCCCCCGCCCCCCATTGCTAAAGACCCCTACGCGGAAGCGAATTATTGAAATAAAATTGAAACATATGTTAGTCCTGAAATGACCTAGTTTGTGTCGATTGGACGCGCCCCCACCCCCTCTCTTTCTCTCCCCCCCCCCTCTCTCTCTCTCTCTCTGAACGGGAAACATTCTTCTTCCTAGCATTTCATACTGACATATGAATAACCTTGGATTAATATCAAAATAGTTTACTAACGTTCCCACAAAGACCCGCTGAACATCTTGTAACAGTGCCTACAGAGGTAAAAGCCCTATTCGTTTTTATTAGCCATGAAATACTGGTCTGAACCAACCGGGCTATTGAACACTTTGTGTACGTGACGAAACTCCGAAAGCTTTCAATGTACAATTAAAACCATATCTATTTGCTATATCTTATTAACTTTTACTAATATAAGCCCATTTGAATGTGGATAACTAAAAGTGTCATGAGTATAAACTGGAATGTGCGCATTAGTACACACTATTATTATTAGATGAATTGTCCCTTTAAATAGTCAATAGGCGATGTATTATTATACTATGGGATTATACAGGTTAATCTGTTAGTGGAGGTTGTTGTATATTATAACGGTGGTATATATAGACAGGTAATAACACCCATTGTATATAGCCTATATACCCCAGTATATCTCGCGACCTAACAACCAATAAACGTGTATATACAAATCTGTACCGGTTACCTGTAACATAAATCACAGGTGTTAAACATTTTACCTGTAATCAATGACTAAATAACTGATTTGTTTACAAGTTAACAACTATTTAGGAATATGTACATCACAAATTGGAGGATTTAACCAAAGGAACGACAGAAGTGAAATAGTGTAACCGTGGTCACAAATCGGCATAATCCGCAGCTGCTAACAGTTTGAACTATTTTGTTCATTTAATCAGTAACTTTAAATACATGATTTGTAAAGTCTAACTATTTCGTGAAATTAGGAATTTTTCTCACAAGGCGACATGAACTTCATTTGTGGACGTTCTGGACCAACTGCTTGTGAATATTTTGGTCTTCGGGAAATAGGTGATTTATAGTACTGTTGACATTAATTTGTTATTTAGATTAAATTATTGTTAGAGATGCGGAATTTCTAGAATGAGTTACCGTCCCCTTACAACTGCTATTAAACTATGAGGGCTTGTTTTAACAGTTACAGGAAAATAAACATTATTGTAAAGACGAAATATTTCGTAAAATTAGGAATTTTTCTGACACAGGGACAGAGGTTTTCGTGGAGGTTCTGGGCCAACTACTTGTGAATGTTTTGGTCTTCGGGAAATAGGTGAATTACAGTACTGTTCGAATTTGTTATTTGGATTATTTTTATAGAGATGCGGAATTTCTTGAATGAGTTACCGTCCCCTTACAACTGTTATTAAATCTGTGAGAGGTTTGTTCTAACAGTTACAGGAAAATAAACATATGACGGACTTTTAAGTGGTAGAAATTATTATTTACAATCATAGAAATTCACGAACATCTTATGTCAATTTAGGTATACTATTGATAGATATTAAACTACGTACGATTGGCCGAAATCACCGAATGACCATTCTGGTTGTTGGAAGTGGTCGTATATCGGTCTGTGAATAGATTGGATTAAGAGGTCGAGTGGTATCAGGTGGTTTTTATTCAGGAGTCAATGGTACGATTGAGTAATGTAATAACATTACCCTATGAGGAGTTCTGTTTTAAAACCTGTGAAATATTCTGATGAGGTTTTGTGATTAGGCTTTCGCTGGCCCTTCTAACACTTTCTTATATGGGATTTTTCATCAAAACGTGATTTAGTATGATTTAAGTCTGTTTAAACATACTATGAATTCTCGTAATATATCCGAATTCCTCAAATGGGAAGTGAAATTAGGTGTTCTAAACTAATTAATCGTACTCCTTCACCCCTTATGAATGGTTTCGTTGTGTGAGTCTAGAAGAGAGGTGTGGTCTGGTGACGTAACGTCTATTCATAACGAAAACTTTATATAACGGAGAAGGGTGCGATTCTAACGCACTAGTGATTGTTGTATGTTTATTCCGTTGATTTCTGAATTTAGATTTGGGATCGGGCTATGTGTAACCCCACTCCCAAGCAGATTGTTATTCGACAAGTGTATATGAAAACGATTAGGAACAAATATTAATAATATTGTTATTATTACTATTATTGAAATCCCATTCCATAAGAGATAATATCATTCAACTAGTGTATCTAAAAACGATTTGGAACAAATATTAATAATATTGTTATATTATTACTATTATTGGAATCCCATTCCCAAAGAGATCATTTCATTATCTAAAAACGATTTGGAACAAACCATAATGATATTGGTCTATCGTTATTGAAGTCTGCATTATATTTAATTCACGCCATAACGAACACGATCAAGCTTGGGGTTAATAATATCATCACAGGGATCAAGTTGTAAACAGGATATCACACCTACCTCAATATAACATCGTAACTTAAGACACGGCGCATGTTGTTGGCAAGGGAACAAATATTATCAAATTAATGACTTTTAATCGGTTGTGAAAACCAATAAGCCTCGTGATGGTTTCATTTATGCATGAAGTATGAAGTAATATAATATATGATCCACAGAAAATCGTTTGTTTTACCAATAGTAAAGAACTATTTTTAATTAGGATTATTACGTCATCATTATGCATTGGTTTATGCCACAGGGTGAGTTCCGGCGATTAACAGACCAAGTTCGTGACGTCAGTATGGGCAAGAAGGACAACTTCCGAACTTCTAACTGTCAGGTAGGCCACATTCTTATTATTTTGGAGAACTAAAATCCGTATGTGATGGGTGAGGGGTCAATATATTGTACGTACACGACAGAGCATAGTAAAGTTTTTTACCACCTAAGGCAAAGAAACTTGTCACCAAGGGTAGTTATAATTTCGGCCTATTTTACTAAAATTGGATACATTGCATAATTAAGGAATAATAAAATGGGATGAAATTAAATATGTTTAATAACCGCTCCGAATGAATGTTATAACAAGGGTGATTTTAATGTATTTGAGCAACAGGGGAATAATTTTTAATTAACCGATATTAGTGACTAGATCCCTAAATATTCGCTCCTTTACAGCTACGCCCAGGATCGAACACTCCCCACACCCCTCGCTACCAAGCCGCCAATCAAATGGGTTCTACCTTTAACAATGTTTAAGGGATCTGAAGCTCTGGAGCTTAACAGGGTCAGTTGACGTCTGCAATCACGACGGAACCGGTGAGGATCGTACAGATTAATCAGGGAGTGAGAGAGGGGTGGAAGAGAGAGAGAGAGAACAAGAGAATAGAGAGAGAGATAACTAGGTCATTTCGAGACTAACACATGGTTGAATTTTATCTCAATAATTCGCTTGTGCGTAGGGGTCCTTAGCAGTGTGTGTATGGGGGGGGGGGGCGGAGGACCCGGAGAAAACCCACGAGGTTAGACAGGCGACCCTACTCCTTGTCACGTACAAGCGGGGATTCGAAACCACGCCACTTGACTCAATGAAAGACCGTATGATCAAACGCACGCGTTAACCATTCGGCCACCCATCTCTCGCTCTCTCTGGCGCATATATGGCTTTTTAGTAGTGGGAGGAAACAGGAGGACCCGGAGATAACTCACGAGGTTGGACAGGCGACCCCACTCCTTGTCACGTGCAACCGGGGGAATCTAACCACCCCATTTGACTCAATGGCAGGCCTTATGATCTAAAGTGCGTGCTTTAGACCATCCGACCACCCAACACCTGAGTAGGACTTCAAAGTTAACTGCCCTGTCCATAACAACACGAACGTGACAGACACTGGCTGTAAAGGAATTTAAACATACATTATGCAAGAGCTAAATCTACCAATTGCAGGTCATTTTTAGGCCTGAAATGTTATCTAAATTATTAATTAGACATTAATTAACTAATCCAGACCATAATCAACTCTCAATGGCATCGCTAGCCTGCGATATTTACTGGATTAGGATCCCATTTGCTGCTCGACTTCTATTCATAATTTAATCATGAAATGGATGATCGAGACTATGTGTTTTATCGTACAGGCTTTAGTAATGATGATCGAGGCTAGGCCGAAATTTCAATCGTTTAATTCTCGGTTCATAGAGGATCAATTTGTCTGAAATTTCCATCAAATTCCCTTTACATTATCAAGTTGTTAACTATTATAGCGAGAACTGTCAGCTCTTTATCTTATCCCCCATAATGTATCTTTAATAAGTGATAAATACGGCAGAAATCTCAAGTTTTGCACCGCCGTGGCACTGGTTTGCCAAAACTAATAATGCCCTGGGTTACATAGTCGCACCTCTATGTATTCCATCATTGAATTTGATGAGGTTTATGCTTAGGTTAAATTATAATCTTTGAATGGCATTTAGCGATTGAACATAATATAACACAACACAGTTGATAACGACCAGTGAAATCCTGTCGAAACGTCGTGTGATTATAATATAGTGATTGTTATCCATAGAACTGTGTTGTCTTATATTAGTTTAAATTAAACAAACTCCTTTAGCTACATCTATTGTCATTTATTTTGTCTGTAGTGTCGTGGTATTTAAGGTGTGTATCTTTTAAATGTTCTAACTGTCGTAACATCTTTCTGGATATTCCGGAATGTCTGAAAATTTAAATAATTTGTTCAGATATGTTAAAATATAATAATATAATTACAAAATAGAGAAAAAAATATCATAAAATTGAAATAGTTATAAATAATAGATAAATAATAGCATTATATTTATAATAAGATATGATAATATATACAAGATAGAAAAAAAAATATAATATCATGAGATTTCAAATAATAAAATTGCCATCATTAGATATACAACAAAATTTAAACAATATAAATTAAATAAATAGATATACAATAAAATTTAAGAAAAATATATCATTACATATAGATATACAATAAAAATAAAATAAACATGTCTTTAGATATATAATTAAATAAAAATTATATTATTAAATATATAATATAATAAAATGATAGAAATAATGATAAAAATAATAAAAATACAAAAAAATCAACAGCAAATTTCGTGTTCAGAAATACCATGTTTTGCATCAGATGTGTCCGTCTATATTTTATATATTTGATATGATTTGCACTAAATAATTTCAAATGATGTTCTTGTGCAGGACGTTTAAAGTACACAACACTGCATCAATTGAATGAAATGTATTTAATATTACCAGTATTAGTGTATCATCATCGGCTAATGTTCTAGACATATGAGAATCGCATTCTCCCTCTTTAATTGCTTTCTGTATCTGAACCAATGCCCCATCTTCTAGGGTAAAAGTTGACTGAAATATTAAAACAAATAATAGTTAATCTGAAAGCAGTAAGGTCAATTATTTAGGCCAAATAAAACGTGTTTAATTGGATTGTTTTAAAAATGATAGAGTGCAATTTATTGTTGTACGCCTTCATCCATCAGGAGTCACGATGGTTTAGTGGGTATGGCGTTGGCTCGCTAACCTGCTTTGGTCGAGAAAGTTCATAGGGATTTTCCGATGTGGCTCATCCTTGTCAGTGCTGCAGGACAGGGGGTCTGGCAAGGGACAACGTATAGTCGTTCGGGTGGGACGAAAAACCGAGGTGCCGTGTATACATTTGACAATTGGAATTAGAAATAACAGTCGGTCATAGCGCCAAAGTCAGGGCGAAATTGCACTCATAGTACACTGTATGGCGCATGCCCGTCTTCATTAGCCCAGTCGGAGTAGCACAGTAGAACGTTAAACCCCATTTCATTTCCTTCAGTCATCCACTGTGTAACGAAAACTCACCTATGTAACGAACTTCTATAAATATATGTTACTGATTATAAATTAATAATTCCAAATAAAAGCATTTGATATTTACCAAGTGCCAAAGTAATGTAAATATAGTTTGGCGACGCTTTTCTCTAAATATAGGACATGTACCAGGAAGTAATGTTCATGGCACTCGAGTAAATGTCCATAGGCCCAGGAAGAGTTGAATGCATTGTACATTAAAGGGGATTATGGGAGATTAGATAAAGTAAAGGGAATATGCTGAAAATGTCAGTCAAATTGCTCCACTCTGAACCGAGATATTAGCTTTGGAATTGTAGGCTAGCCTCGATCATCATTGCTAAAGTCGGTAGGCTAAAAACAAAGTCTCGATTATCCATTTATTGATTTAATTATTTTTAAAAAAAAAAACAACAACATGTATTCCAATCCGCAAATATCACAGGCTAGCGATGGCATTGAGAGTTGCATATGGTCTCGATAAGTTAATTAATGTCTAATATAATTTAGATACCATTTCATGCCTAAAGAAAGATCTGTAATAGGTAGATTTGGCTCTTGCATAATGTATGTATGTTTAAAGAGTCTCAAAAATAAAATTCCGAGTACGTATGAAATTTAAGCGCCAAAATATAAAGGAATGGTGTATTTACCCTGTCTCAAAATTTCAGCTCAAAATATTGAGTCATTTGGACGTGAACGTCAAAACTGCTTATTCGGACACGTAACCCTTTTAAGATTTTGGGTCAATTCTTTCGTTGGGTGACCTGATAATCGATTCCCGTTCCTTTAGGGGCTTATTCAGTTAATGACCCATGTGCTGTACTTGATAACGAAAGGTAAATTTCACCTACACATTATTCTTCTAAAATAAAAGTCTGGTATTATCCAGACACCGCATAATACAGCTCGGGGCACCGGTCCCCACTTCCAGATTAAGACTGGCGGGTTTAAGTTGTTTGAAAACGTATCAAATACGTCGAGTTAGTTGCTCGGCCCTAAGGTTGAGGATTTTAAGGGATTTTAACACAACAGTAATCAGTTTTATTCTCCAAAATATTATCGGGATTGGCCCTTTAAGCATCGGAGGAAGTCCAGCCTGTATACACAAAGATTGGAACACGGCAGATTATAGCCGGGATTACAACCATAACTTCTTAATTTTGAGAAACCCACCTTTACGTGCCTGCCATCCATCGTGTGTTCGTCAAATTCTTCCCCCAGTTTAAATTTTAACGTCTGGTTTTTAAACGTGGATGTTATCAATATCTCCCACTCGTCGCCATTTTGTCTGATTTCTTCGTAACTTGTAATAGAACCACCAACCTTCCTTAATACATAATTTACACCTGAAAGAAATAAAGGAAATAAGCATGAAATGGTGTTTACTTTTCTCACCAACCGGGCTAATGAACAAAGGCAGTATGCTACAAGGTGAATGTTGTAAATTCCAACTGCCAAGGGCTCCTGACATTTTTATTTCTAAAGTTTGGAGTTATGCCCCTCTTAGAATCCCAAGGCACCCCACTGACAACGGCTGTGTGGTAGAAAGCGTTTTACATACCCATAGACTTCATATATTCATCGAAATTTTCATTTTTTTCTAGTTTCCAATGTCCCACTAACTTTGACATAGTGTTCCAAAAATATCAGCTGCCGCTGTGGTGTTTCTATTTGGGCGATCGGTTTATGGCTTTTGTTTGCTGGAAAACAGATATGATATTCAGTATTAGCGTAAATGTAGATACTTGGTTAAATTTGATTTCACATGAGGTTATTGTTGTGATTTGTATGAAAGGCCTCAATAGCAATTTACCCCAAACACAGTCCCATAGACAGCTTAGATGAAAAACAAAACTATAATTGCATAATTTTACTCTGAGAACCGGACATGCAATTTTACTTTTGTGACCGCAATTTTGAATATTACGGTCATATCGGAATACCCTTTGGTCGGAACATATTTTTATGTTTATATCGGAATTAAATGTCCTCAAAAACCTATATTTCAATATATTATACGCCTATAAATGGGATGTTTGGATTTTCCAAATTGGCCCCTAGCGGAATTAGCTGTCACTTTCGGAGAGGGGATATCAATGCTCAATGGATTGAGCGAGTTCAATTCCTACAGAAACCACCTTCAACCCGAGCTTCCAGGGAATTGGCCACAAATAGAAATCCAACTAAATAACCAGAAAATGACTCATGACGGACATCGTGAATATTTCAATTTCTCTAAGGATGCCAGTGTGACATCACGCGGAATTTGAATCAACACAATATTGAAGATATATAATCCATCAAAAAACATTAGGTGGACTATATACAGATTTGTCGACCTGCTGTCGACTAATAACTAGTAAAACATGTCAATTGACCCTTAATCTTTTGAAACAAAAACATTATAATATAAGATATTCAACTACTTTTAGACTTTAGCCAATATAATTAGCACACGGTTATATCGAGTATCATCACTATACATTGAGTTGTCGATTCATTTCGAAGTTATTTGAAACCCTTTTCCTAAAACAAACAAATTAAAATATATACTTTTATTTAATAAATATCAATACTATGCACCGTTACCTACACAAACAACAAATAAATTTCTGCTCTTAAGAAAAATCTTCATGATTCTCAATGAAAACAGAAATGTAGTAAATGTTTCAGTATTCAAATCGTAGATGGTGTCCCGATCCAATTTGTTTCAAAGAGGTATTACGAAAGCCTTCTAATAACTCTATAAAAGATGACTGCTTTCAACATGTGACGTCACATCACGCGGTATCAACCATTAGTTCAATGGCGCTTGCATTGTTTACATAGGATGTTACTAGTTCGGGCAGAATGGTGCTTTTTACTCATTGTACATACCCATTTACACTAAATATGAAATAATTTTTACGTACATATAGTTCAAACATCTTTATTTATTTTTATAATGCTTAAAAATGTTCTAGAATTTAATTTGCAGAAGGTAAACGGTTAATATTGTGGGTTCATTAAGCTTCACCTATGACATCCCTTTCAGTGATTTTAGCGGCCTAGCGAACGAATATTCACTGCTGATCAGTATTCACTGCTAATCAATGTGGTTTCGGCCATGTGAAACACTGATTAAAGGGAGACTACCCCGATTAACATTGTTTGGATACAGACCACCAAATATTACCCCTTTGTTATTCTAATTTTGGTTGAATTGCACATTGCGAAACGCTAGTTCAAGGGTGGCTGCTCTCCTTGCACAGCCTACTCAAATATTGTGCTTTCTTTATAAAATCTTTATAAGACTTTATAATGGTTCTTTAAAAGATATCCTTAATTACAAGAAATTTCAAAACGTCGCCGGGCTCCACGTTGTTCCGACCCCAGAGTGAAAGAGACAGGAGACGATTAAGAACACTAAACAGTTTATTTATAGCACCACCTGATTAAATAGACAAATATCAATAGAAAAATATCTACATAGAAGAAAAATGGCATACATTGTAAGCAGAATAAAAAAAGATTATTTGTGCGATAAGACAGATCTTGATATTTTGACAGATCTGGAGTGGATATAGAAGAAAATAGTTAATCCAAGGCCCTGTTTCTAGAAAACTTAACTAAAGATAAAATCCAAGTTTTGATAGATACTTCAATTTTAATTGGCTAAGCACTAAAATCAATCTAATATTATCCAATCAAATTAATAAAATTTGGATTTTATCTTAGTTAAAAATTTCGTGAAACATGCCCCAGGTATCTAATATACATACATTTACCAACAAGTTCTATATCAGATCTATGATGTATACAAACTAAATAAACACTAAAGGTAAAAAAAATACACTGGATAAGATTAGATATATGAGTGACAAATCTAGATACTCTGACATATCTAGAGAGAGAGAGAGGGGGGGGGGGAGTGGACAACAATCAAGGTATCTAACGAGTTCTACATAATATCTATAAAGTATAAAAACTAGTAATATAACGATCGGAAGTAAAAATACATTGGATAAACAAGACTAGATAGATATATAATTAAATAGAATATAACACCATATTACGGGTTCTATGCTACAGTATTAGGCCACAATACTACGCTCAAATATCCAATCCAAGTTTGCACTGAGTTTAAAATAAACATAATAATTTTTAAATACAACTAGTGTAATATATTTTGTCTATGGTGTGTATCTTTTAAATGTTCTAACTGTAGTAACATCTTTCTTGAGATTCCTGAAAGTCTGAAAATTAAAAATAACACATTTAGATCTCTAATGGAATGGAAGAATGTCATTCCATATTAAAGACAATTAAATAAAATTAATACGACTGGATATACAAACAAAATTAAATAGAAAATAATATCATTAGTCTAGATATCCATTAAATTTCAAAATAACTTCACTAGATATGTGACATTATTATTACACTATATTGGTAGAAAAAACTTCGCATTCATAGGAACAACTAATCTAGGCTGTACCAAGTAACCCTATTTTGCATCTACACGTACATTGTCTTAATATTAATCACAAAGACGATGCGTAACAATGTCAGTTTGATTGCAGTTATTTCGTCATCAGGAATTGTAAGCCTATAAAGCCTATAGATGTTCAGTTGTGGACTTTAATCCAGAAACGTTTATGTTAATGTTCGTGTAAACGCTATATAACACTGCACGTGAACATCATGAACTTCAAGTACGTGTACTAGAAACATATTGTACACGTATGTTGCCATGGTACAACGAACAATCATGCCAGGGGCCTGCTTCACGACATTTTAACTAAGATAAAATCCAAATTTTAGTAATTTGATTGGATAACATTAGATTGATTTTAGTGCTTAGCCAATTAAAATTGAAGTATCTACTAAAATTTAAATTTTATCTTTAGTTACGATTTCGTGAAACAGGACACTGGTTTCGTGTCGATCGTACATTTGGAACCTTGGGCTTTTTTTGTGAAAAGCATCGCACCCAAGCGATGATTATCGCGTGTGTGCAACTAGTCCCTGGTTAAAGTCATTGAACGTTATAGAAATTATATGAATTTAATATTACCAGTACTAGTGTATCATCGCCGACTGCTTTTCTAGATATCTGACAGTCACACACTCCCTCTTTAGTTGCTTTCTGTATCTGAACTAACACGCCATCTTCTAGGGTAAAAGTTGACTAAAATATAAAAACAATGAACTCTTTAAACCTAAAGCAGTAAGATCAATTTGATTGGGATCAAAATTTATCTAATAAAGTTGGATTGTATGTCACGTTGCAACAGGATTCGAAACCCAACAGGGGGTCACGGTGGCTAAGTGGATAAGACGCTGGCTCACTAGCCTGGAGGTCGGGTGTTCGATCCCTGCATTGGCCGAGAAAGTTCATCGAGATTTTCCGGCGTGATTCTTCCTTGTCAGTGATGCAGGACGGAGGGCCTGACAAGGACAGTTGTCTAGTCGTTCGGATGGGACTGTGTACCGAGGTCCTGTGTGCACGTAAAAGATCCTTTGACAGTTGGATCTTAATATCAATCACAATATTTTGCTATCCCGGCAAAACTTCCCTCATAGCACACTGTATGGTACATGCCCTTCTTCATTAGCCCAGTTCGGAGCAGAACAGTAGGACGTTAAACCCCATTTCATTTCATTTTCGAAACCCAACAATCTAGTCCATAATTGGTACAGCGACATTGATTTTCAGAATGCTTAGTCTTGGAGAACCAATGACTTGTGATTAGGCTTCTGGCTTAATAACAAGGGGGTTTCACGTCCAGTGTTGGTCGAGAGGTTTCTGAGAAAGTTTCCAATCTTGTGTCTATCCGTGTACCAGGTGTACTAGCTGGCAAACCCACCTTTACGTGCCTGCCATCAATCGTGTTTTCATCAAATTCTTCCCCAAGTTTAAATTTTAACGTCTGGTTTTTAAAGGTGGAGGTTACCAATATTTCCCACTCGTCGCCATTTTGTCTGATTTCCTCGTAACTTGTAATGGAATTACCAACCTTCCTTAAAACGTAGCTCACACCTGACAAAATAGAAAAAAAATACAAACTGCATCTGTTGTGTTCGTACCCTAAAATACAGTATTTTTTTTTTATCTAGATTTGGAAACCAGATCGGGTTAATGGGATGTAATTAAAAATAATCTGGTTTCTTGTGTGCACATTTATTGTCATCGTCATAACCCCCCAAAACAATCTGATCGTCGCTACCGCGTATTGGTGTCGTCATACCCAATTACACAATAGAAAGAAATTGGTCGTCGTTCACGTGAGTTTATGTGCTCACTTATAGTCATCGTCATACATATACCCAATAATACAATAAAAATAATCTGATCGCCATTGGTGTGCACACTTATTGTAATTGTCATATCCAATTATGATAATATACTAAAACAATCTAATCGTCATTAGTGTGAGTTTGTGTGCACACTTACTGTATATTGTCATACCCAATAATACAATAAAAATAATCTGGTTGTCACTGGCGTGCACACTTATTGCCATCGTCATACCCAATAATACAATAAAACAATCTGGTCGTCATTAGTGTGAGTTTGTGTGCACAATTATGCTTGTCGTTATGTCCAGTAATACAGCTTTGCTCTCTGTGTTTGAAAACCAGATGAGGTTAGTGGAATAGTTTATGAGACTATTTCCGGTGACGGACAGTGTGAGTAAAATATCTCAGTCACAATGGG